AGATCTTGCTAGTATAGAGCTAGTTCAACAGTTTCATAGTAGCTAGGGTCAGGAGGGACCTGAACAGATCGTTTAGCTTGACCCCCTGCCACAGGCAGGAATGAATGTTGGGTCCTCAAGACCCCAGACAGGTGATCATCCAACCTCCTCTTGAATTTGTCCAAGGTAGGGGCAAGGACCACGTCCCTGGGAAGTTGGTTCCAGATTTTGGCCACCCTAACTTTAAAATATTGCCTTCTGATCTCTAACCTAAACCTATTCTCCACCAGCTTATTACCATTGTTCCTCATCACCCCAGGTGGTGCTGGGGAGAAAAGGGCTCTACCTATTGCTGTTGATCGCTCCTGATGAGTTTGTAGGCAACCACCAGGTCCCCCTTCAGCCTCCTCTTGCTGAGGCTGAACAGGTTCAGGTCCCTCAGTCTCTCCTTGTAGGGCCTGTCCTGCTGCCCTCTCACCAAGTGGGTGGCCCTCCTCTGAACCCTCTCCAGGCTGGCCACATCCCTTTTGAAGTGCGGCGCCCAGTACTGGACAGTAAACTGGCAGCTTTTTAAAATTTCCATACTGATTAGCTTTGCGTTAGTATCTACTGAAGGTAGTGCAGGTGGAAGATGTCTGTTTGATACTGAGACACAGGAAGAACTACTGTGTCCCCAGAAGACTCCATTGCAAGCTCCTTTAAATCGGTGGTTTTCATACTTCCTAAAATGGCAAAACACTTCCATGCCATTTGTTCTGCTGTAGAACCCCTACCCCTACCCTAGGAGACCCAGCTCAGCAATGGCAACACACTCCCTTACGGCCTGCTTCATCATTATCCCCAATTTCTTTGTGGAACCCCTGATGACCTATTGTGGAAATCCAGTGGAATGCAGTTTGAAGACCACTACTTTAAATCACTGTGGCTTACCTGTGCAAGGGGATCTATTTGGGGTGTATGAAGCCCAACAGAGCTTTACAAATAGACAAAAAATCAGCATAGTTTTAGGCAGGAAATGACTGTGAAGGGATCCTCCCATGTATACATCTATGGGCTGTTTGTGATCATTATCCATCAGCATTATAAACCAATTGTACTTCTTTTTCTGAACAGCAGTAGCACCTTGGAAGGTTAGGGAAGCATGTGAATGGAGGTGCCTTTCAAAATCCTGATACCCTAACAGTGCGAATGTTGTGTTTGGGACATTTTAGTAAATAAAACATTCAGCAACTTTGCAACTGAGCTTTGATTTAAGCAACAAGGAGAAGAAATGAAATTCTGGGGAAGTGATAGTAAACCTGGTTTACAAACTATGTTTAGATCTTTTTCCATATCCATTAGGAGAGAAAGTCTGGAAAGTATAGGGAAACACTATTTTACATGCAAGGTGAACACACTTTGCCTAATTTAGGTCAGCAAGTATATAAACTGGCAGCTTTTTAAAAGTTCCATGCTGATTAGCTTTGCATTAGTATCTACTGAAGATAGTGCAGTTGGAAGATGTTTCTTTGATACTGAGACAGGGAGAACTACAAACTTGAAAAATGCAAATAAATGTTATTCATTAGACCAGTGGTTTTCAACCTTTTTTCATTTGCAGACCCCTAAAAAAAATTCAAATAGGGGTGCAGACCCCTTTGAATTTGTAAGTGTGGGTGTTCAGATACTTTTCATTGGCCGTAGTCATCTTTTGCAGACTCCTTAGATGTAGCCTACAGACCACAGGTTGAAACCCACTGTATTAGACACTTTTACATGTGCTCTGATGTGTTTTAATTAATTGAGTCTGTGGGGGTGTGCAAATCGGAACGCTCCAGCTTGCTGCAGCATCTTGTGTATTCGTTGAATGAGCTTTAGTTAGTGCTCCTGCTGCCATTTTGAAATGCAGGATGTTGAATCCATGAGATGCTGTGGGCATTTTAATTGGAGCGGCTCCTGAGAGGTGCTCTAATTAAAACGTTCCCCATTCCCCCACCCCCACCTCAGAACACTTGTATAGGTGCCCTTGGAGGATTAGAAGTATTATGCAGGAGCCCTGTCCTGAACCTGCTCTAGAGGATGCCACATTAGGGGAACAAATACTAGGCCTCTGTTAAAGCAGTAATACTAGGAGCACAGCCACAGCCCTAAGAAGGGTCTTGCTGTTCCCAAAGAAGACTGGTCCAATTCAGGTGAACCCATAAGGAATAAAATGAAGACTGATCTGAGATGGAACCAAAGCTTAGAAAGAAAACTTGGTAGGAAAGAAATGAGGAAAAGCCAGATTCCACTCCTGAGACTGGCACCAGGAGCTAGGAACCAGTGAACTGATGTTAGCAGAACATGACTGCAGGGTACTATGCTTAGATCAGTGGCTCCCAACCCTTTTTTGCTGGGACCTGCTGCTGAGAATGGAGTATAGCAGTGGTGGTGCAGGGGCAGGGGAGCTCCTGGCATGTGGCATGGCTTGTCCTTTGTATGTGGTACCCCTGGCATTGCCACCCATTTGGGTTGGGAACTGCTGGCTTAAATAAATGCCCAATCTTCTGTTCTTACCAAGGCCAGTCTAGGATTGGATCCCTCAATACTGCAAACTGTACCTGCATGTGTTGCTCCCCAGGGAGAAGCGGGGAAGGCATAAATGTACAGGTGTTTTCTCCCTATGCTTTTTATTTTTACTGTATTATTAATAAAACCATATTATTGTCTCCTATTCACTCCAAAATATCATGCAGGCATTCAGGTCAGGGCAATACCACAAACTCAGGAGACTCTTAATTTCCTGTGCCCACTCCTGACTGCATGACCATGGCAACTGTGTGGTAACTGTTTGGGCTCATGAGTTACCCAGCTTAGAGTTGTACAACCCAGGCTTCAGTGAACAGTAGGGGAGGTCACCCAGGTTCTCAGCCAGTGCTCAGGGCTGACAAGTGTCATCTTGGGCAAGGCAAAGCTTCTGCTGAGATCCCCCAGTGTTAGTCTTACTGTGCAGCTGCAAATCTTAGCAGCTGTGAGAATAACAACCTTCTGCTGGGTGCTCTTGGGCCATAACAGGTTGGATGTAGTTCAATGAGGTAGTCTCTTACTTCCACAATTACTAAAAGTACTAGTGAGCAAGCACAGAACAGAATTTCAGAAAGGTATGTTGGTGTACGGCTTGTGCCCCAGACATTAGTCTTGTGTAGACAACTAGAGAAACAAAGATGAGTGAATAGTCCCAAAGGGACAAGCTGTGTACAGAGCATAGGGTGACCGCCCATCTGTAATTGGGCAAGACAGTCCCTAAATTTAAACATCAAGTCCCAGTCCCAGGCTGAATGCGTCTGGGACAGCATTTGTCCTGGATTCCCAGTACCATGTTCAGGGATTGGGGTTTTCTGTTTGCTGTGAGAAAACTGCAGAAGCTGGCAGAGTTCCAGCCTGCAAGGGGCTGCTTGGGACTGGGGGAGCAGGATGCAGGGGACGCCACATGCATGTGTGCATGCACACACATGACCATGGCTAGCAATACAGCCCAGGCAGCGGCGGAGAGCAGCTCCCCCAGCTGCCTGCAGGTAAGTCTATAGTGGGGGGTGGCATAGGCGATGCAGGGGGAATGGGAGGGTAGTTTGAGGTGTAGGATTGGTGGCTGGGGCTGGGGTCGCTGCCCAGCTGGGGTGGTGCATTGGGCCTGGGGCTGGGGTGGGAATGCACAGCCGTGAGGCCCAGCCAGGGGTCAGGATGGAGCTACAGGCAGCTTGTCTGGGGGTGGTGAGGGGCATGTGTCCTGCTTTTGCATTGTGAAAAGGTGCTAGCAGAAGGGTAGCAGGGCAGGTCTATGCCCAGCCCAGCTGCTGATGCCTAGGACACCGTTGGCCTGTGTTGTGTGGTTTGTGGTAGTACAATCAGCTGCCCCAGTGACAGTGGCTACTTTTGTGCCCCACAACACCTGGGGCACTGCTCTGCCCTTTGCCCCCTACGTTATGCTATTGTCTATGTAGGAGCATCTAGTAGACCCCAAGTCCATGTAAGCAGAGAAGCAGGCACTTGGCAAAGGCGTGATGGGACTAGGGAATAAGGGGACAATAACAAAATGCTAGGATGGGGGGACTCAGCATGGGAAGGAAATGTTCAACCTCAAATTTTTGCTTTGTGAGCCTGTTCAGAGGTGTTTGGGATTGGGTGTGTGAGGGGAGGGCATTTTGGACTGCTGAGGTGGGGCTTCCGTGGGTGAGCAATCTGCCACTCGTCCTAGGACCTCTCTTCCTTCTGATATTGGAGTCTTTTTCTTATCCCAGGAGAAGGAGCTTACTTAGCGGGCCTCATTGCAATTTCATGTAGCAGTGGACCTGTCTCTGCTCACTGGTGAATGTCATGCTAAATGACAGCCCTGACTCGTATTTTTGTGGAACAACAAAGCAGGAACCAGTTGTAGGGTGGATCTGAAGCTCGTCCATCACCATGCTGCAAGCACCTGCGATAGGCCAAGTTAGAGGCCAAGTGGCCGGTGCTGTACCTAGACTTCTGGTGGCCCTGGGCAAACTTTTAGTACTGGGCCCCGCTTTGCCAGAGCAAGTGCATTTTTTTTTTTTTTTTTTTTGCATTTTGTTTAA